CTTTACTATCCTTTCAGAATTCCTGACTAGGGACTGCGTTCCCATATTGGTGCAGACCAAGAACAGCGCGGTCCCTACGGCCATGGTGTCTGCGTATTTCGCAGGAGATGGAGCCTGCCCACCACCAGAGATAAAAAAACTGGTGGATTACTGCAGGAGGGAGAAAATCTCAGTGCTCATCGGATGCGATGCCAATGCGCACCATACGACATCAATTTGAGAGGTGAGTGCCTAATGTCGGATCTACACCGACATTTGTAACTAGAATCAGGGAGGAGGTGCTAGACATCACCCTGATTAGTCGGTCCCTAAAACCTCACCTTAGGGACTGGCACGTTTCCCAAGAGGAATCAATGTCTGATCACACAGGAAAACCAACTGGGAAGGTTACAAGTCCGGCCTTAGGGCCAATGGGTTATGTGGTATACCGAGAGAGCGTCTAGAGCTGGACAGGGCTATTGGTGACCTCAACAAGTGCATAACCAATGCATTTGAGGATAACTGCCCGGTAGGGAAAAAGTACATGGAGAAAGATGCCCCATGGTGGAACGACAGCCTAGAAAGGCTGCGCGTGACCACACGTCGCCTCTTTAATAAAGCAAAGAGAGACGGAATATAGAAGCAGTACCGTGAAAGCCTGACCTCCTACAATAAGGAGACAAGGAAGGCCAAACGGAAGAATTACAGAAACTTCTGCGAAAGCATAGTTAGCACAAGCGAAGGCGCCAGGCTCCATAGAGCACTGGCGAAACGAGCGCCTGATGCGAACTTAGCACTGAAGCGTGGGGATAACTCCCTTACGAGCAGTGATTTGCAGAAACTAGTATTGCTCTTCGAGACGCACTTCCTAGGAAGTACACCCCTGCAGGAAGAGGCTATCGAAAGGGAAAGTAGATACAGAGCTCGGGTAGTCTTCATCCTCAAGGCAGGGAAGAAAGACATTACCAGCCCAAAGTCCTTCAGACCCATCAGCTTAACATCGTTTTTACTGAAAACGTTGTAAAAGCTGGTGGACTATAAAATCAGAAGCACTTTGCTTAAACAAAGGCCGCTGCACCCAACGCAGCATGCATACAGAGTAGGCAGGTCAACGGACACAGCACTTTATCAACTGCGACGTACTTTGAGTGCGGCAATTGATAATAAGGAAGTAGCACTGTGCGCCTTCTAAACTACTAAACAGACTTGCTAACAGTGGTATTCAATCTCAAGGTAATGCCGATGACATTGTTATCATAGCGCGAGGCAAATTTGAAGAATCACTCTGTGACATAGTCCAGTTAGGGATAAGGATAACGTATGACTGGTGTATGGAGGTTGGACTCAACCTAAACCCTACGAAAACAGTCATCGTCCCCTTTACCAGACAACATAAGTTACAGAGGATGAGACAAATATGGCTCTCAGGGACCCTACTAGAAGCAAGTAGGGAGGTCAAATACCTGGGAGTCACTTTTGACAGCAGACTTAACTTTGGCACCCATGTGCAAAACATGATATTAAACATGGCGCTTTATACATGTCGTGGTATTGCCGGCAAATCATGGAGTACATCACCAAAGATATTAAGATGGCTATACCTGATGGTAGTAAGACCCATGTTAACCTATATGGTAGCATGGGGTGACACGGCGCGGATGATCACCGTGAAGAAACAACTATAAAAGTTGCAAAGAATGATCTGCGTATGTATGACAGGAGCTATGCGCACCTGCCCAACAATGGCCCTTGAAGCCTTAATGGAGCTCACACCACTCCACCATATCATAAGGCTCAAGCAGAAAGCCACGCTTCTCAGGATATCGGCAGAAGGAGTTGGGGGCAACCATATCCTAAGCCATTAAGATGCCCAACTTCTTTCAAGCGAACAACCCCCGCAACCTAGGGACGAAATGGTAGCCGAATACATATTCGAGCAAAATTTCACAGTTCGTATAAGTAGTAAAAGGGAATGGACAACTCTGGATGAAGTCCATCCCATGAAACCGCACACCATAAAATGGTACACCGATGGATCACTCACGAATCAGGGCACCGGCCTTGGAGTGGTGGGTCCTCGGGTATTCTACCATGAATCCCTGGGAACGCACACCAGCATATTTCAGGCTGAGGTGTGTGCGATAGGGAGATGTGCGGACTTCAACATAGAACGTAACTATCGGAATACGGATATATCCATCCTATCCGATAGTCAAGCAGCATTGAAAGCTATAATGGGGACTAAGATAACATCGAAGGTAGTCCATGAAGTTCGTTCAAAGCTAGACCTACTCGGGACTCAAAACAGGCTCACCCTACGACGGGTCCCGGGCCACAGGGACATAGCGGGAAACGAGGCGGCTGACAAGCAAGCAAGAATGAGGGCAGGAAGGCCCCTAACAGGACCAGAACCGTATTGTGGCATAGGGAGGCACACTATACGACTGGAACTTCGAAACGAGGAGAGGCAGAGACGGCAATAGACCTGGTCGGAGACAGTAGGACTCCGACAAGCCAGATGTCTCCTAGGTGGTTATAATCTTGTTCGATTTAAACAGATTGTAACCTTGGGAGAGAACAGCCTTACGATACTTACCGGTCTATTGACAGGACACTGTAGACTAAGGAGTCACCTGACAAAATTGGGTATATACAGTAGCGATCTCTGAAGTTTTTGTGAAAGAGAGGAGGAATCCTCGATGCACATCCTGGCAGAATGTGTCACCTTAGCTAGAAGAAGAAGCAGCATCCTAGGGGCGCATGTCTTGAATTGCAAAGACATGGAAGACCTCAACCCAACAAAGATTCTTACGTTCGTACGGGAGTTGGGGCTGATGGAGGAGCTATAAGCTCAGAAGGGGGCACAATAGATCAAATAGGTCGCGGTGCAGCTTCCCCAATAATAATAATATTTATTTAACGAAAAATAAAATAAGTAGAGCATAAATTAAATTAAAAATAAAATGTAATATTTAAATTTTAATTTAAAAAATTATAAATATTTTTTTAAAATAATAAATAAATTGATTAATTTAATTACAAATAAAATGTAATATTTAAATTTACATTAAAAAAGAATAAATATTTATTGAGGAATAAATATATTACCAATTTGAGACAGACAAACTCGTGCGCGGACATATTTTAGGGACCTGTCTAGCGGTACAGGGTATTCACAAGTGTTATCAAAATAATAATAATAATAATAATAATAATAATAATAATAATAATAATAATAATAATAATAATAATAATAATAATAATAATAATAATAATAATAATAATAATAATAATAATAATAATAATAATAATAATAATAATAATAATAATAATAATAATAATAATAATAATAATAATAATAATAATAATAATAATAATAATAATAATAATAATAATAATAATAATAATAATAATAATAATAATAATAATAATAATAATAACAATAATAATAATAGTAGTAGCCCGTGTACCTGTAATTGTTAGTTTGCATGACCATTTAGATGTTCCCTCAACAGTTGCGTGCTCAGCCTGTTCTAATGAATCTATGTGTGTATCTGGATCCACACCGAATGTCATCCTTGAATTGAATTGCAGATATATGGATATATATGTATATATATGTATATATATATATATATATATATATATATATATATATATATATATATATATATATATGTATGATATAAATGATAAATAGCAGCTAAATACGTATTACGTGTTTTGTTTTTATATTCAATTCGATAACTTAAAGCTAAAGTTGAATTTTCATTTGGGGCTGGTGCGCTAACAATCATCCATCGGTTATCAATAAATATCGATTCGACTTTATTTCTCTCTCACTTTGTATTTATGTATTTATTGTTAGAATAGAGCAGCAGTTCTAAAATAATTTCTCATTTCAATTTCCATCATTAACTCGATAAATCGATAAATATCGATTAGTACACTATAAATTATATTACCTATCTAAATATAACCATTGTATTTACAAGAGTCTAGATTTTAGATTTTATAGTGTAATTCTTTGTACACTTCTCGCCACTTGAATAAAACTCTTTAAATAATCATGTTTTTAAATTTTTTTTTGTAATTTAATTTGTAATTTTAATTTTTTAAAACCTTTTTAAAAACTCTTTACTGCTTTTAATCTACATTAAGTAAACTAAATAAATAAAAAATATAAAGCTCAAATAGCTATAATAACTCGTGTATTACATAAATTAAATTTCATATTAATAATAATTTATGTAATAAATAATTATCGACTTAACAAAAAATCTGTTTTATAAAAAAGCATTTTTAATTTTCATTAAAAATCTCCTTTTTTTATTAAAAAATCTCCTGTTTTATATATATTAGTTAATCACAATTTTTGGTAATTTTTAATTATTAAATTAATTTAATTTGTATAAATTTTAATTTAATTTGAAATAAATATGCATTAGTAAAAACAACTTAAACGCTGTCTGAGAACAGATTTAAGAGGCTTGCCCGATTGAAGTGACGCTGACTGTATGCTGACTATCCATAAGTACAAAAAATTGATACACTTAGTACATTTTACCCACGTTTTTATATGTACAGCAAACTAAACGAATTATGATAACGTTAATGTTAAGTTTGGATTTTGTAACTATAAACTGGCTGTTAAGTATATATATGCATTGGTAGGTTGATACCTGTATATTTGTGTGTACATATATACATACATAAGAGTTGACAGACAAGCATTCACACATGCACACATACAAACCATTCACACACACAAACACAACCATATATATATGCGAAAACATATATATACATATTTATATATATATGCGAAAACATATATATACATATTTATATATATATGTATACATATATATATAATTAGACATTGATTTGATGACGAAAACATTGAAAATCGAAAATACATTCATAATAATAATAATGAATATCAATAATACATACATGTTAAGTGTGGTATAGTTTAAATATAAATCACACACATTCGTATATCGTATGCAGTTGCAAACCTGTTATCGCAATTTTCGCCGACCATTTACTGGTGCCATCCAGAACGCTTTGCTTAACGGCCTTCATGTGGCCCGTATGGCTTTTCTCCTCAATGCTGAATACGGCTCTACGATATACAAAATTAAAGGCGAGGCTCTCTATCACACACACACACACACACGCGCACACACACACACACACACACACACACACACACACACACACATCACACTCTCTTCGCACCAGCCAGCTGCACACGCATGTTTGTTTCGAATTAACACACTCGTTACCTGATCAATTCGAAAATTTCGGGCTTTTCGCGCTCGCGCTGTTTCATGCGTTCCTTCATCGCTGTGATTATCGAATTCGCTTTGTCCTCGGCGCCATGTTTCGAACTTTTCTCCGCAGCGCCTGCGAACAAATGATCATGATTGACAGCTGATATGTTTGTGACTTATTGCACTTACGTTGCAGGCAGTCGGCGTTTAGCAGATCTTTGCACTTCTCGTGACATTTGACGCCGCACTCAGTGCAGCGCACCCCCTGCCGCGCTATACCCCACAACAGCCCTTCGCATTCGTAGCAATATGTTGGCGATGTCGCCGTCCAAAGCACGAAATTGTGCGGCGTCGTGGACGATATTGGATATATCAGCGCTTGCAGCGCTTTCTTATACACATGCATTTTCTACACGAACACACACACACATTTAATCATTGCAAGCTTTTATTATCTATTTCTCTTTCGCTCACCAATTCCTCGTCGTTGAGCGTCGCTCGCGGGACTGCTGACGTCAATCCAGCATTGCGCTTTGTCGCCGCCATAGTCTAAAGAGCGAAAAAGAGATGGCAATAGTGAAACGCATACGTAGCAAATGTCTCAGCACGCGTAAACTACGTAGCAAGTCAAACGTAAACTCAAAACGTAATTGAGCTTGCATTTAATTACGTCATTAATGTGAAATGCAAGCAAAACATGAATATTTAATTAGAGAAATGCAATTAAAATTCACTATGTGATAGAAATCTAACCAATCAATTGTAAGAAAGGTGTGCAAATATTAAACTAGTTGTATTTATAAATATTTATGTTTTTATGCAACTTACTGTTAATCGATTAATCGAAATGCGATAACAACTTTTCGAAAGACTTGTGTCCAATAAAATTTAAAAAAATAAATGCAACAGACAAGAGTAGATTTATATATATATATATATATATATATTTATATGTATATATATATAAATTAATTGAGTCCTCACAGTTTGTTCTGTACGAATAATTTATTTAGACTGAATTCATAAACTCTGACTTATCATAACTAAACCTCGGACTGCTGCTTCTGCTGATCGTTGCGACTTTGTCGCTGACGCTTTGATTGCTGCAATTTTGTCGCTGATGGTGTCAGTTATCCCTTCTGGGTCCCACGATGGTCTTCTCGTGGGGTCTGCTGACGGGACGTTTGTCCATGCGCCTTACCTGTGATCGTGGGCTCAGCACATTTCTGTTTGAGTCCCGCGTTGCTGAAAATATGCTGACGAGGCGCGCGTGACTTGGGTTATTCGTAGTGTTAGCTTATTTATTCGTATGCGTTGGTTTTAGTTATTTGTAATAATGGATGTTAACTCCTCCCCCTTTAAATGCGGACGTCCTCGGACGCGATGTAGCATCTTGTTTGGATGGCTCTATACTCTGCTCTATATATTAATTTCTCCTGTGTCGGATTTTTGTTTTATCCAAAAGGTGACTACAATCGTTAGTATGATGAACAGCGTGGTTGAGAGTCCAAAATTGACTATTGTTGTGGTTGTGTTACTGTTTCGGAGTGTTTTCAGTTCTTTTGTGTTGTTAATGTTAATTTCCTTTAACATTTGTAATGAGAGTACTTCTTCGACTTCTGATTTTCCATCTATTATTTGCAGCAATGGTTGTGTTGCTTCAACGGATGTCATTACTTTTTATAAGTAAAGGTCTTCTCCAATCCTGACTGTAGAAGTTTCGAATTGGATGAGGAATGTTCCCCGTAGTTCCGTTGTTTCCTCGTCGATTTTTATTTCTCCTTTGAAATCGTTGAGCAGTATCGTTCCGGTGAACAATTTCTCGTGGTCGGGGACATGTTGGCTATTTATAAATTTACAACCGGCTTTTTTATTTTTGAGAATTCGTGTTACACAGGTGTCGTTACTTAGGTCGACTAGCTTAGTTTTTTTACAAATGCTTTTATCGTTATGGTTTTCACAATTTACCTTAATTCCAAATATTTGTTGATTACAATTAATTATGTTATTCAATTTTACCTTATTGATTTTGTTGTATTTTTTTATTGGTACTAGTAAAAAGGTCGTACAAATTTCATTTGACAAAATTGCGATATTAATGATATACAATTTTTGTTTGCCATTTGTGGCAATTTTAATTTTAGTAAATTCTAACAATTCTTCTGGATTTATAAAAAATTTACCTTTTTCTTCTAGTAAGTTTGCAATTTTTTCAGTTTCAATTTTTGACAGAATTATTGAGTTTATTGTGTTAATTTTTGCCCAATGAATTATTTAATTCTTTAAAAATTTGTATTTTGTATTTCAGTAATGTAGCTATTTCGTTTTGAAAATTCTTATTGTCTATGGTTCCTTTTACAAATTTATTTGTGTTTTCGGTTAATTCATTCATTCTTTTGCTAAGAATTTTTTCTTATTATTAGTTGTTTGTTGTTTTCTACTTGCTCGTCTGTTTTGGAACCTAAAATTTAATAATCGTAGTGGTCCGGCGTGCCGGCCAACCATTTCCAAACTGTGCCTAATGCATTGACTGCTCATACTTTTCTTTGTGTTGGTTTTAATGTTTTTAAATCTGATTCTACTTCAAATGCGAGTAAGAGAAAGAGTGGGTGTGTTTTATTTATTTCGTTAAGTTAGTTCGATAAATTACCGAACGCCATTTATTCTGTAGGTGTCGTTTTCTACCGCAGCGACTCCTGTTTTTGGGTATAATTTGTAAATGGGAGTAGTCCAATATGGTCGCTAGACCGAGACATATTGGTAGGAAGAATCTGTAAAATATTATGTTTTTAAATTATTTCTATGGATTACCCGTCCACCTTGTATTTTTGTGGTGGTATTTCGGTTTTCTTCGACTATTTCTTTTTTATATTTTGGAGTCAATTTAGAACCTAATCTTCTGTCTATTTTGCAGTAAACTATCTATTGTTTTATTGCTTTTTTCTTGTTATTGTGGTATTCTAGATCATTAACTTGTTTGTTTTTTAATTTATCTGTGACTTTGTTTCTATTTTTCTCTAACTCTTGGGGGTCGCTGGTGACTCGTGTTCCGAAAAATATATCTATCGGTTTTGCGTTCACGGTGGAGTGTATGGATTGGTTGTATAACTGAGTGGACTTAAATATTAAATCTTCGAAATTTGTTATTCCGTCATTCTTTTTCACACATCTCATTATTTCGGTAAGTGTTGAATGAAATCTTTCAACTTGACCGTTGCTTGTTGAGTTATATGGTGGTATCGTGTAGGTATTTGATTTTAATTGGTTTTCTATTAGGAATTTAATAGATGCGGAATTTAGAGCTCTTTCGTTGTCCATAACAACTAGTTTGGGCATACCGAAAGCTATCATAACCTCACGTAGTGTGTGTTTTATATCTTCGGCTGCTTTTGAATTTAGAATTTTAATCTGTGCATACTTTGAGAATTTGTCTACGGCGGTGAGAACGATAGTTCTCTCTGTCGTATATAGATCAATATGGATAATTTGACCGTGATAAGTCGGGATAGGAGTTGGTTGCAATTCACCTTTTTGAGGATACCTGTCATACTTGCTTTCTTTGCAAGTTTCGCATGCCTTTGTTATTTTTTCAAAGTTTTTCTTTAGGTTATTAATTATTAAGTATTTGGCTTTTATTCTCTATTGCAATTCTATGAGCTCTAGTGTGTTCTTTTGTTATGATTTCTATTTGTTCGCTTTCGCATGTGACATCTTGAACTTGTTTCTGGGTGTACCTAACTTTGTGACTACCGAAATGGTAGGGATATATTTATTCTGGATTTTTGCCATGATATTTTCCGTCGTGACTAATCCATTGACAATTTTTGGGTTGAGTCGTTTTTTCAGAATGTCTATTAAGTCGTCTTCTGAGTAGTCTGGTTTTTCAATGATGTGGCTGTGGTATGTGGGAAAAGGTAATTGGAATTTGTGTGATTCTGTTTCTGATGCTAGTAAGAAAAGTTGATTTTTAAAAACGTTAATTGGGACTTCCATTACTGGAATAAGGTTGTGTGATGAACTGTCATCACTTTATATAGTTGATGTTGTTTATTTCGGGTTTTGGGGGATTTCTGGATAGAGAGTCTGCAACAACGTTAGAAGTTTCTGGCTTATAACTTAGTTCGTGGTTGTACTCTTCTAGGTAACTTTTCCATCTTTTGAATTTTCCGTTATGATTTTTGCTACTCAGTGCGAAGGTTAGAGGTTGATGGTCTGTAAAGATTATTACCCTTTTTGTACCGTAGAGGTACATGCGCAGATTCTGAAGTGCCCACACAATAGCTAACATTTCCTTTTCGTTAGTTGCGTAGTTTTCTTCTGTTTTCGAGAGTGTGCGCGATATGTAGGTAATGGGTCTACCTTTTTGCTCTAGGACTGCTCCGATGGCGAAATTTGATGCATCGGTTGTTAAGTGAAATTCTTTGTGAAAATTGGGGTACACTAGTACCACGTCGTTTGAGCTGAGCGTACTATTAATCTTGTCAAATGCTTTAATTGCATTACTGTCAAGTGTTATTTCCGCTTTATCGGAGAGATTCTTTGAAAGTCTACCGTTTTCTCCTCTTAGGCGGGTTGTGATGGGTTTAGCCAATTTGGCATAATCCCGAATGAATCTTCTGTAATAGCTTGTTAAACCCAAGAAAGAACGTAAGTTTTTGAGGCTTTTGGGTATTGGAAAATTTTTGATAGCTCTTACTTTTTCGCAATTGGTTTTAATTCCATCTACAGGAATAGTGAAACCTAGGAAATGGACTTCGGTCTTGAAAAACTCGCATTTGTCGATTTGAATTTTCATGTTTGCCTTATCTAAGGTCGTGGAGACCGTATTTAGATGGTTGATATGTTCGTCTTCCGACTTACTAAAGACAATAATATCGTCGATGTAAACGTAGCAAATTTATCCGACGTGATCCCTTAGGATATCGTCTAATGCTCGTTGGAATATTGATGGCAAATTTTTTAGTCCAAACGGAAGTCTGGTGAATTCATATTTTCCGCCATTAACTGCAGCCATTAACTGCGCGAATGCAGTTTTTTCTATGTCTCTTGCTATGAGAGGGATTTGATGAAATCCACTCTTCAAATCTAGTACGGAAAAATACTTATTCTCGCTTAATTGTGCGATGATTTCTCCAATCTCAGGGATCGAGTATCGATCCGAAATTGTTACAGAGTTAAGTTTCCTATAGTCGATAACTATTCGAAACTTTTTTTCGCCTGAAGCGTCACTCTTTTTTGGAACTACCCACACGGGGGCGTTGTACGGTGAACGTGAAGGTCTTATTATGCTGTTTGGCAGCAACTGGTCTATCTGTTTTTCGACCTCTCCTCTTAACGAAGTAGGGTGTTGGTAGTGCTTGCTATATACTGGAGAATCTGATGTGGTTCTTATTTCGCCTAACACTCTGGTGGTGTATGTCAGTTTTTCGTCTGGTTCTGCAAACAGTGTTGTTCGGGTTTTAGTGACGTGATCTATGAAATTTTTTTGTTTGTTCGTCATGTGCTCTGTCCGTACTTTTATGTTATTTACTGACTGTGTTTCTAGTTGTCTTACTTTAATCCTATAGTTTCCGTCAATAATTAATGTTTCGTTCTTGACGTCAATGACAGCGTTCAGCTGTTTCAAGGTATACCTAGGACCAATTTGATTGGCCTATTTCTTTGACCGAATAAACTAAGGAAAGTGTGGTGGGATATTTTTGTTTGTCCACCAACATTGCATTAAATGCTTTTTGGTTTAGTCTCGGACTTGGAACTAAAATTGGTTGGATGTAATTTTGGTTTGAGCCTGTATCTCTTAAAAAATTCAATGGGTTGCCGTTCCTCGGTATGCACTGGAAATAGGGCAGAGATGAACTATTTAATCTAAAAAATGAATGCCGGAAGCATCGATCGTTGTTGGTTGGTATTCATAGTAAATTCCATTTCCTTCCTCATCAGGTAGGGCGTAGGCTCCTTCCGGTACGGCGGAGCCGTCCTCGTCCTTCATATCGTAAGGGTTTGGTTGTTCATCCCCTCCTTCTGATGTCCGGTTGAGATATGGAACTGTCGTTGAATCTTTGGAGGTTGACCGCTAAGTGCGTTGCTGGGGTGTTTCCCAACGAAATCATTGGTGTTTGGCTTGTTCATGTAATTAACGTTTCTGGTTCTAATGGAGTTATCTATCTCCATTGGTACAGGTTTTAGCTCTGATTTTGGAAAAAAAAGGGCGCGAAGGCGCTTGGTATCCCTGTCTAAGATTGAAAAATTGTTGCGGCATTGTATTTTGACCACGGAATAGTTGAGGGTATTGCTTATGCTGTTGGATCATCTGATGATTCATATTTGGTTTAGGGGTGTGATATAGGTTTGGGTTGAAATTCCTCCATTGTACAGAGTTATTGGTTTGGGACAATTTATGCAACGGAATATGATTTCTGGGCGGTAGAGGTGGTGATTGTTGTCTTGGTTTGGGTAAGAAGGCATTTCTATGTTCTTGGTTCTCCACCAAGTTACACAGATGCAAGGCATGGCTCAGGTCCCTTGGTTCTTTGGTTGCTAAGAGTCTAGGTAGATCTCCATTTAGACCTCTCACGAACGTATCTAAGGCTTTACCTCAATAATTATTCGTCAAAGTTCTAATCACCTCTGGTGCGTCTTCTTGTACGCTTATTTGGTTATGGATGAGGGATAATTGGTGGTATACCATCTGGTAGAATTCTTGAACAGACATACGTCTCTGAGTTAGGTAGAACATTTGGTATTCGAGAGTTTTTAAGTCTCTTTTATCAACGTAATGTTCTGTAAAGCACTTGGAAATTGCTTTCCAATTCCTAGGAGTGTTATAGGATTCAAGCAAAGCATCGGCTTCTCCTATTATTTATTTTCGGATTGACAGAGTTATTAAGTAGTATTTGTAGGTTTCTTCTTGACCATTATAAATGGTCATTATTCTTTCTAAATTTTTTTTCCAAGAACCGAATGTGGTTCGGTTTCCGGAAAAATCTCTAATCAACAGCGTTATTTCGGGAACCTTTTCCTGCTCTTCCCCTAATCTCGGACTGGTAAATGGGATATCGTTTAGACATTCGCTACCTTCTGTATTTATTGTTTGCCTTATTTTATCGCCACCCAGGAGAGTTTCTTTTATCAGGGATACAATAGTATCTTTCAGGCTTTGGCTTGCATAAGCTGCGTTGCCTGATGGGGTATTTCTCTGGGAGCTGGTACTGGCTGCTCCCAGCTTCAAGTTGGCTAGGAATTCGGTCAATTCGTTGGACTGCATTTTGTAATTTTGTCTTTTACGAATTAAGATAAATTTATATTCGGACCACTTTTAAGAATATTTGGATTTTTTTTTTAATTGATAATATTTTTGGGAAGTTATTTAGTTAGAATGATTTTTCGAAAACCTGTTACTTAATCTATAGTTGCTTTGTTTCTTATTATTATTATTATTTTATTTTTTTAATTTTAATTAAAAAAAACAATTTTTTTTATTTATTTATTATTTTTATTATTATATATATATATATATATATATATATTTTAATTTGTTTATTTATTTTTTTTATTTTTATTTATTTTTTTTATTTTTATTTTTTTATTTTATTTTTTTAGTTTTTCTATCTGCGAATCTTAGATTATGTCTTAGTTGCTGTGCTTACAGGATAATCAGAATTCCGGCGAATCTCCTGCGATGATCCTTTAGAATTGATTCTTTTTATCCCACGACGGTCGAGATGGGTGACTCAGGTTCCTCTGGATACTTCGCTCACGGTACCCTGCGGACGGATACTACAGGGTTGTCGGCGGTGTTGTTGTGGCACCGGTGCGGATATATTTTGAAACTTTTTAGTTTTGGTTCGGGTTTGGATCTGCGGCTGCTTAAGGCGCTTTTGATCAAACTGTCTTGTTCGTATCTGCGGCTACTTGAGGCGCTTTTGATAGAACTTGACACTTTTTGACGTTGTCCTGTTTCGCGGAGTTATGTTTGTATTTGCGGCTATTTGAGGCGCTTGACGAAGAAGTGGTTAAATCACTTTCACTAGCTCGCGATAATTTATACTTCCGCACCGGTCCCTGTTCGGGCGCCAATTAATTGAGTCCTCACGGTTTTTAATAAAAAAAAAAAACAGTTTGTTCTGTTCGAATATTTTATTTAGACTGAATTCATAAACTCTGACTTATCATAACTAAACCTCGGACTGCTGCTTCTGCTGATCGTTGCGACTTTGTCGCTGACGCTTTGATTGCTGCAATTTTGTCGCTGATGGTGTCAGTTATCCCTTCTGGGTCCCACGATGGTCTTCTCGTGGGGTCTGCTGACGGGACGTTTGTCCATGCGCCTTACCTATGATCGTGGGCTCAGCACATTTCTGTTTGAGTCCCGCGTTGCTGAAAATATGCTGACGAGGCGCGCGTGTTTTATGGTATTTGTTCGAGTGCATTGACTTGGGTTATTCGTAGTGTTAGCTTATTTATTCGTATGCGTTGGTTTTAGTTATTTGTAATAATGGATGTTAACTTATATATTCATTCAGTAATTCTGCATTTATTTATTTTTTATTTAAATGTTTATTTACTTATTCTACACTCCGGTTCTTAAATATTTATTTAAATTTTTATTTATTTATTCATTGTATGAGCTTTGAACAGTGAGCCAATAAATAATGTAGCTTTTGTCTGTTGCATAGATTTTATCGATAACCTACGATAGCCAAAGCCTTAAACTATTAGCAAAACTAAGTGAAATATCAAAAAATTAAAGGAATAATAATTTAAACAGTGTGTAAAAGCGACGCAGCAACAAATTGTCATCAATAAAAAAGAGAGAATAACTATTAAGGCAACATACATATTTATATAGAAGCAAAAACAACTTGTGATCAACACTTAAAAAGTAGTATTCAACAATGCTAGCAGTTATGTAAAAAATAAAGTCACGAGTGCGGGTTAATAAATAATTCAGGTTCTTTGGACTCTTAACGGACCTGATTACATTTATAATTAAATTCTGATCTAAATAAAGCAACAAAAAAGAAAACTACAGTTAATTGATTTATTTAATTTGCCCCAATTAATATACAATTAAAACATAAAATACAGTTAATTATTTATATCCTTTGTACCAAATAAAATATGAATTCTCAAAGCAATTAGTAAATGAATATGAATTAACATGTCATAGCAATCAGGAAATGACAATAAATATAATCGTTATTTTGAATTTCCTGCTAAAGTTAAAAAAAATTCAGAATTTAAAAAAAACACTTGTAGCTTTGCTATCAGTACAAATTGTTTTCTGTTGTCTCTCGTAAAATATAAAGGAAATGTTGCACATTACAAAATACTAATTAAAGGTATAATTATGCATATATAAATTAGTTCAACATTTTACATAGAATTGTGAGACTAAGGTGAAATTGAAATAGTCGAAATTGAAATTGAGAAATCGATAAGCGTTCGATAATACCTTGAGCACCTGTCGTCCACATTTAAATCATTTTTCATTTTTCGTTGTACAAAAGAAAAAACACGAAAAAAAACGCACACACAAATAAGTTGTATTCTATATTGTATTGTGTCTTGCTCACACACACAACATATGCAATCAGAGAGCGCCGCTGAGAGAACGAACTGATCTCGCTTACCAATACCACTGCCCACTTTATTAAGCTCTTTCTTTCTCTTTCTCTCTGTTTGTGCATATGCATGTGTTCGCCTGCGTGTGCTCGTGTTTGTGTTGAGTATTGGATGGGGATTTAAGTTTAACGTGTATTCAACACACGGTAGTGCCCGAGACCGTTAGACGCTTCAATTTATTTTAGCGCTTATTTCTACTTATTTTTTGTGACCGACAAAAATGTCGTTTTCAATTTAAAGAATTTTTACGTTTAAATTTAACTACAAAAGCTCATTTTCATTTTCAAGAACTCTTAAAATATGTTTTTTATTCAAATTATTTATTTATTTTCAATTCAAATTAAATAAATTTTAGGAGTAGGTCCTGAAAGGTCGATTTTAATTCAAATATTATTTGTATTATTTAAATTAACGTTAACAATAAATGTTTGCAATTTTTTTTTTTTTTTTGCCTTAACTGATAAATAAATAATAAATAATAATAATTAAAATGAATTCCCAGATTTACAAATATAAAATTCTGGGAATTTTATAATTGCTTAGCGAATCTCGGGCACTCGAAGCTTAAATAAAGTGTCAAACTTACCAGCTCGGAGACAAGGGGAATGGATTTACGCCTGGGTCGAATGTCGGGCATGCTGTCGATATTGCTATAGAACGGATTGTCGCCAGGATGCCCATTCGAGCGAAGACCCACGTCGCCAGGTGCCGTGCCATTCTGCAAAAATCCAAATTTAAATATTATTTACTTATAATTTTCAAAAAAAAAATATATATAAAATAGAACTTTTATGTGCTAACAAAGTTTATAATTTATAATAATATATATGTATAATTTTAAAATATTGAGTTTAATTTAATTTAATGTAATTTAATGTATATATATATATAAAATGTATATGCTAACAGAACAGAACTATATTATTTGCATGAGTTAAAAGAATTGAATTTTAATAATAGTGCTTTGAGTAATTGATCCTGTAGTAATTGGTATTTTAGTTAGTTAGTTAGTTTCTACTCTTATTTTTACTCATACTCTTTTCTTTTACTCGTTACTCGTTATGTTTACCTTTTCCTTGTCTTTAGCCAATTCCTCTTCCTTCATTTTATCCTGATTGTTCTTTTCCTCAATTTTGCGCTCTTTGAGTGTTTTCAGCAATTTCCACTTGCTGCTGCCCAAATTGCCAGCCACGCCCCCATTTACACCGCCCGTTTGCGAAACATCTACACTTGAATCTTGACTAATCAATTTAAATGGGCGCTTTGCATTTGAATTTTGCGCCATTGTTTGATCTACCTCAACTGACAATGCTGTCGTTGCTTGCGTTGGCAGCACTGCCTGTGGCAGGGTTGCATTTTGTATGCATGGTTGCTTTTTGGGCACTTCGTGCTCCTGTTGCTGTTCCTTTTGCTCTTGCTCCAGTTGTTCTAGCTTCTGCTCCTCTTGCTCCTCCAGCTGCTCCTCATCTAATTCCAGCTCATCGCTAAGCACTGCTGGCGTATCTGGACCCGAAGTAGCTCCACTTGATGACCATTTCTGCTCATTATCCGATTCCATCGAAAATTGTTCAAATTTTTGCTCTCTCTTTCTTTTACATGCCTGCTCCTCGTGCTTCTCCTGTTCCTCGTGCTCCTCTTCAGAGGTGTATGCTGAGCTGGATGAACCAGTTGGCAAATCTTTTAGTTCACTTTTATTCTGATAACTTTTGCTGTTTCGCACTCTCTTTTTCTTTCTGCTAAATCTTTGCTCCCGCTCCTGCGCCCGTTCCCGTTCCTGCTCCTGCTCCCTCTCCTTCCCCGGTGAATACTCATTTTCGCTGCTCGCCAGTTGATACTCATTGTTGACATCTTGCCAAGCGCTGTGCATATCGGCGACTCTCAGCAATTTCTGTGATTTTTGCTGCCTGCTTGGCGTATTTAATCCCTGCTCGAGCGGATTAGGCTTGGAGCTGGCGGAGCTGGCCGTTTCCATTTCGGCTTCTACTTCGGGCACACAGCGCAGCAGTTCCTTGAGCACCTGCGACATTCTCAGCTTGACAGCTTCGTCGGGTAAATAATCGGAGCTGGGCCACGAATTGAGTCCATCTATTTGGGAGAAGAGCACCTCATTTTGCTCGTGCTCCTGCTCCTGTTCCTGCTCCCGTTGCTCTCTACTCTGCTGCTCCAGTTCCTCAAGTTGTCTCAGCTCGTAGCAGAAATATTCATCATCCGTATCGATGCTGTCCTCGGTGCTTTGGCGCCGCGATGATGAGAAGGTCCTCGCCGAATGCTGACTGCGATTGTCATCGTCCTCGCGACTAAAAAGTGCTCCTGGTATGTCCAACGATTGCTGCTGTTGTTGTTGTTGGTTGGCCCAAATACCAGAACGATATTGCGATAAACCATTTAAATGCGAGTGCGTGCTGGCTTCGCAAGGGTGTAGCGCTGTGAGTGAGGCTGGTAGGGGTGACACTGCTGGAGGGGGTTGCGTCATTAGGGTGGGCAGAGCAGTGACAGAGGTAGTGTCAGAGGTTAAAGCTGATAGAGTGGGCACAGTTGAGGCAGCGAAAGAGGGTAAGGTTGATGGTACTGCAGAGGGGAGAGTTGATAGGGTTGCTTGGATTGGTAGAGGAGATGCAGAAGCTAGTGTAGATAAATGTGGTAAAATTAATTTAGCTGATACAACTGGTAGTGTTGATAGGGTAGCTTGGTTGGATAGGGTAGAGGCAGAGCAAGAGGGTACGGCTGTGGATATGGAGCACAGAGTTGATAAGTTTGCTGGGCTTGCTTGGACTGGTAGAGCAGATAGGTCGGCAGAGCATGAGGGTACAGCTAATGGGTCTGGCAGTGCTGAGTTTGCAGAGGTTGCCGGACATACTGCGCCCAATGCTGAGGCAGAGCTGTCAGCAGTTCCCAATTGCGATGACTCAGCAATTCCATTACTACCAATAAATATTTTCGGCGCTTGCTCGAATTTATGAAGGTCCCCAAATTGCTGAAGTTGCTCAAAGTGCTCAAATTGTTTCACATCGCCGCCATTTTGTGTTCGCCTCAAATTGCCAACGACAGCAAATAAATTCTGATTATTCTCCTTATTACTGCGCCGATAACTCTCCTTATCCTCAATTGTATTTAATATGTAATCATCCACATAATCCTCATCATTATCGGATTTACGCATATCATGCTGCTCCTGCTCCAGCTCCAGCTCATTATCGTTATCGTTATCGGGCTCCGAGCTGCTCGATTCGTGACGCAAGCCAAAACTATGCCGTCGATAAGTTTTCGCCTTTTGCATCAAACTGTTCATTTTGTGCGAAAATGAACGTTTCTTGCGACCCGGAACTGGTTCAACGGCTCGTTGCGATGCAGCACGTTGTATGAGACGCTGCGGCAATTTCTGTAGACGTTTCGATAACTCCAAGTGACGCGCAGGTTCTGCAGTTATCGCTGTTGTTTCTGTTGTTACCGTCTTTTTGCTGGCGGCCAACGGATAAGAATTGGCCTGGCCACGGATTTGCAGCTTTTTGCCCAATGAACACATCACATTCGCATCCACATCCGCATCCGCATCATGACCGGGCAAGGATTGGGAGCGTTGATAGCGCATGGAACGCTTTACTTTTAGATTATCGGGCAATAAATTGCTCAATTTATTCCACACTTTGGGTGTTTTGTGTGCAGCAGCAGCACTTGTTATCGTTTGTGTTATCGGTTGTGTTATCGATAGCGTTGACTGCTCCATTCGCTCACTTTTGTAGCCCACATAATCGAGATTGTTGCTGCTATTGTAATCCACGATGCTGTTCGAACTGGGATAATAAACCAAGCGATCTGTCAAATGCGGTTTGCGTGCCAATAAATTATCGTTATCGCTCAACTGATACGTTGAGACTGGTCTCGGTTTTATGGCTTGTTTTGTAGGACTCTTTTTTAATAGATCCGGAATTTTTCTCAACTCGATTTTCTGATATTGCTGACGATGATCCCAGGCCAGCATTTCATCGATTGTGCAAATGTTATCGTTCGATGATGCCTTAAATATAGATTTATTTTCATAGGCCGAACAAATGGGCATATTCTTGGACAGTTCGTGTATATAGTTGAGATTCTCCTCGGATAAAATGTAGGGCGTGGCGCTTGACGGCTGCTGCTCGAGATTTGGCAGATTGAGGAAGGCTCCTTCCTCTGGTATTCCTTCTGCTAGCCCTGCTGCTCCCTCTCCTGCCCGACCCCCTCCCCCTCTCAACTGCAACATTAACTCTATCATATCTTTATAATTATTATAATCCTCTCCCGGCGGCAGCGGCGAGTTTGGTGACCAGCCACTCATCGAACTCAGCCCCGAATCGGACTTCACTTGAAACGGATGCAGTTCGTCGTAGAGACCATCGTTGGGCGCCGGCGGCGGTGGACTCGTTCCATTTGTGCCCAGCAAAATATTGTCCACCTCCGTTGAGATTTTATGCTTTCCAGGATGCTGCAGATGCAAAAGGAACAACATGCTATTGTGTCGTTCCAGGCTCTTCTTCAAGGATCTGATGTACGCATCTTCGTTGTATATATTTAGGGCGGCTGCCTCATTTGGAATGTGCGTGGCTTGCTCTAAGAACGGCTCCGTTTTCAAGCCGAGTCGGTTTGTGATTTTTTCTATGTTCTTTTTGCGATTGATTTCGATTTCTTGGGTTTCCAGCAATTTGAGTTGTTCATCGAGATCCGAATTGTTGCGCAATAGATGTGCACTGTAATCAATTGGAGTGACTTTTACAATTTCTTTATCGTTATCTTTGCTTCTTTCCAATTCTCGCTCTTCTTTCTTTTCCCTTTCTTTTTCATTAGTTGCTTTCTTTTTGTCGTTTTTTAATTTATACTCCCCAAAAGAATTGCCCAACAATTTTTTGAGTGTATCAATATTCTTCTCAAATTTACGCATAACCAGCTCGAATTTCGACTGCGCATCCTGGACGTCCAGACGACGCAGTTCCTCCGCCATTGTTACAGGGTTTAGTAATAAAAGCGTCAAATTTGTATCCACCTGATTCAGTTTTTCGAAAAAATTTTGCTCTTTGCGTATCGTTTGACGTAGTTTTTGGATTTGACTGGGGTTCAAGGATTGCAAATCGGTTATTTTATTCATTTCACGGGTAATTAAATCCGTCATCACATCGAGTATAATTACTTGCTGCTGGTAATGATTATCCTGCGCGAGCAGCAACGATTGATTGTCCGCTTTTAATTTCTGATTTCTATTTAAACTATTGCAATCTTTAGCTTTATCTTTATCTAGGTTTTTTTCTTTATCTGCTTGCGCCAGCAGACTTTTTAAATTGTTTATCATATCCATTTCATTTTTGTGATGCTTTTTCTTGCGATGTTTGCGCGAGTCTTTTAGGCGCAAGGATCCCTGCCCCCCCCTCGTCAGGGCTCCCTCCTCGTCCCTCGTTAAGGTTGCTCCCTCCTTAATCCTTTCCTCCTCATTAATTTGTGGCAACTTTGCGCTTGACTCTTGCAACAATTGCTCCACGCTGCTAATCTCTGTGCTTAGCTCCTGTTCGCGATACGCTTCATTTAAATGTTTGTAGAAGTTCTCATTGATCTCTGTGCCGCCCGTGTCCTGGATGGGCACCACTTGGTTACCACCTTGGCCGGCTTTAAGGGCGGCCAAGCGAAAAAACTGCACCTGATCCAGCAGTTGATCCATGGTGTGATTGCAGCTTCCAGTTTCCATTGAAGAACTGG